ATAGATAGATAGATAGATAGATAGATAGATAGATAGATAGACAGACAGACAGACAGACAGACAGACAGACAGACAGACAGACAGACAGACAGACAGACAGATAGATAGATAGATAGATAGATAGATAGATAGATAGATAGATAGATAGATAGATAGATAGATAGATAGATAGATAGATAGAGGACAGACAGACAGACTGACAGATAGATAGATAGATAGATAGATAGATAGATAGATAGATAGATAGATAGATAGATAGACGATAGATAGATAGATCGATAGATAGATAGATAGATAGATAGATAGATAGATAGAAAAATGGAGGACAGACAGACAGATAGATAAGTAAGATAGAAGATAGAAAGTAAGATAAGAGTCATTTACCTATTACAAAAAGGCGTGTGCTGGCAGTGATGCTTGTTACTACATTGGTGGCAACACATTCCCACTCCCCATGATCCTCTTTGCTTAGAGACACAAATTGCAAGCTACCACTTGGTAAGATGTTATGTTTGCTTCGGCTGGGCTTCCCGACCTTGACAAAGGACACAATAATAAACAATTCAAGATTAACTATCTACGAAAAGGAAAAAATAATATACTTAAAGGGGTCATCGGATGCCCATTTTCCACAACTTGATATGATTCTTTAAAGTCTTAATGAAAAGTCTATAACATACCTAGGTTAACATTTCTCAATGGTAGTGTAAAAATCACCCTTTTTACCTAAAATCAGCTTGCATTTCCCTTTACATGCTAATGAGCTCTGCTCACCCCGCCCCTCTCTTCTGTGGGGTGACGAGCCGTTCTCATATGACTGTTTACTTTAGCCGCAAAACTTGCTAACTAGCACATTATTAGTAAAGGCGATTTGCAAAGATTCATGAAAAACCCTTATACTCACTTCATCTGTATGTGAAGCTAGATCACGAATGATTCGCAGGAACATAGATGTATTTAGGTAGATCAGAGGGTGCATTCCCTTAAAAAACGAAAGTAGGGTTAATCCTCTGTGTCTTCAGCGGCTCAGATGTCGGGAGTAAATGACAACTGCTATGTTCATCATTACATCCAACAACAAAACACCTCAATTGCTTAGGAGCCATTCTTGTCTACGTCTCTGCTCTGGCATCGAAAAAATGGCAGTCGGACTGTTCACAGCTCACTCAGGGCGGGTCTAAGCTAAGACGGCCGTGTCAATCAACTATCGTGGGAGCGGCCTAGGTCTGTGTGACATCACACAGCCAAGAAGCTGAGAATGGCTTGGTTTAAAAATGGGGATATTATTTATAGATTAAAAAAATACCATGGGGTGGATTTTTATCATTATAGGGTGGTTGTGTACACACACTGCCAACACACATTTATGTTCAAACAACATGTAAAACTGAGTTTTGCATCCGATGACCCCTTTAATGTTGTGGTGGGTCATGGTACCTTTCTCCATACGATGGTTGGAATCTCAGGGTCTCCAGAAGCAGCGCAGGGGATGACCAGCTCTCTTCCCGCCTCCTGACGGTACTCCCCCCCGGGCCTCACGTTGAAGTAAGGGGGGTCCTGGGGTCACATGATGATGTTTACCTCACAAACCACACAACACATCTCAAAAATTTTACTTTTTAATTAAGATGCACTGACTCACCTTTAGCACCAGAGTGGCCGGAGGGGACTGTCCCATGGTACCTAGGACATTGTAAGGCACACAGGTGTAGGTGCCAAGGGAGTCTTCAGTGACCTCTGCCACCCGAATGCTTCCGTCTGCCATCTGACTCCATCCAGGATACTGTGAGAGAATAAATCAGAGAACTGGAGTGTTGTCAAACAGTCAAGAGTCTTGAAATTTCAGACGTCAGAAGTCCATGCATTATAGACCTTCTCGATTCTGAGGGGGTAGCCATCTTTCTCCCATCTGACTGATGTAACTGGAGGGTTGGCATCCACTGGGCAGCGTATAATTCCTGGCAACTTTCTTGGGACGTAGATGACAGGTGGCATGTTCACAACACGGGCAGGGTCTGCGGAGAAGATACGGTCCAAACAGGAATGAGGAACATGGGTAATAATGTTAGTTATGCTAAAGCAGATACCACAAATCAGTCTCGCTATGCTGTCAAAGTACTTTATCCTTTTTATTTTGTTTATCCATCATAATATGGTTCATAGCAGTTATAGATTTGAAAGTCTAAATCGACACATCTCCCATATTTTCACTGCAAAATCGCAGTGTTCGGGAGCCTGTGTAAGATATGTGTGGTAACGGAACATGTAAGCGTTATTTAAAGCCCTTCCTGTGAAGTTCTCTCACCTGCAGCAGCCCTGGGGTGTCGCTGACTGATGTAGCACAACCCCAGCGGCACAGAGGAGCCGCTGCTAATGAGACAGTCAGCCACTTCTCGGCATATGACACAATATAATGTGCTTTTCCACAGCTAATCTCTTCTCTCTTCAAACTGCCAGGCTATATTTCCCCTCAGTTAATTCATTAAGGATCCCTTGTCACCCCTGACCTCTTTTCTGCTGTGATGATTCTCTTCTGGGTGGTAAAATGAGAGAAACAAGCCATCTTTTGAATTCTATACGCCCCCTTGTCTGCTGAAAATTCACATTCAAGACAATACACATTTTCTCTACACATTACACTTTCTTCCTGTTGTAACAATCATTACTTGCTTGAAATATTTTCATTAGCGGTCAACTATAATATATTTTTTTAAATGGCAGATACCCAACTACATCTACAGAACAGGGCTGCTGAGGGCTGACTTGAATGATAATATAATGCTAAATGACAAAATTGAAATATAATGCAAATATAAATAACAAAACTACATTGAAATTTTAAAACAAGCCCCAAATAAAATAAATAAGTAACACAAATAAAATAAATCTCTTCATATAAACAAAATCAGGCTTTGTCTCTGCTCTTTCCTTTTAAAATTAGAGGCAACCACTGCATTTTAATCTTGATCCAAACAAAGATGCTGCATACATGCAACATGAGCAGTTTTTAATCTAAATTAGATTGTATAATTTCGAAATTTGAAGCAAAAACAGAATGGTTTGACTTATTATAAAAACATCTGCATGAAACAGCAGACGAGCTGAATGAGACGCAGATTCACTCTCTGCCAGCAGGTGGCGCTTAAAGTATTTCCTTGGTTTCCGCTGTAAACAAAGCAGCGCTGCACTTATGAACTTTAATATGCATTAGACAGAGGCAAGATGAAAAGAAAAAATACCATCTAAACTTATCTAAAGACAGTAAGTTCCCCTCAGACATGCATTCATATAAACTAAATGAATCGCGATTTGTTTAGCATCTCAACCGATTTGAATCGTCACATATTTTAATCGATTTTCAACCGGCTCGCGGTTAATCGTTACATCCCTAGTATACATGTATATGTTAAATGTATATAATATGAAATGTTATATAAATAATAACATAATTTATATAACAAATTATTTTATATTGTATAATTTATGTTTGTTATAAATATTCTTATATAAATTGTTTGTTTGTTTGTTTTTTTATCAGAGCGTATTGCTTAGCAGTTAAAACTACTGAAAAATAGATAGATAATATTAATATTGTTTGAATTATTTGTATAAATAATGTAACATTTTCAATTGTATAATTTTTGAAAAAATATAAATGTATATAGCTGCTGTTTTGCCCTTTGTTAGTGTGCAGTACTAAAGCTTTTAGACAGTATGCAATGTAAAGCCGTTTGGAAGAGAGAGCGAGAGCACATCTGAGGATCTCTTTCATTCCTCTCGGAGCGCGACAGAGACAGAGGGAATACATTCATCTCTGATGAGTTAAAAGATCTTGTGATTTCACAGTAAGCAAGTGCAGTCAGGGTTCAAAATGACTGTCATGTTGGGAAGTAGCAGATCAATTCATGATAAGAGCTTGTAACACTCCAAAGAGAAAAGAAAAATTTAAATCGCATCATATGACCCCTTTAACTAATGCACTTTGAATTTTATGTGTGTGTGTGTGTGTGTATATAAAAGAAAATGTTTATTATGCAGTGACAAGGATGTCAGTACAAATAATTATAATTTTATAATATAATATAATATAATATAATATAATATAATATAATATAATATAATATAATATAATATAATATAATATAATATAATATAGAGAAATGATATATAGAACACCCAAAATGCATTAAAACACTGAAACGGAACATGTTTATTATATAGTCACAAGGTTGTCAATTCAAATAATTATATTTCTTAATTATGATAACCTCAATATTTAACTGTAGGTGATATTGTAGGCTTGGAGCATTGATTTGCATTAACATCTGTGTATTTTGTCTGTGTTACAGCGGCTTCCTTTTAGAATTCAGAGCTGGAACTATTTGTTTTCTAATAATGAATTGAAGTTGCTTCAGTGACAACTCTTGGCTGTCATTTATAACTGTCACAATTCCAATTTTTCATGGTGACCGCAGTATGTAAGGCTTCTCCAATCTGTCTTTTCTATCCAAGAGAGACAGACAGACAGACAGACAGAAACAGAGGCAGCTCAGACTCGGGGCTTATCCACCACTTCCTGCAGCACCACAAGAGTCCTGGTGCAGATGGAAGCGAGCTCTCAAACCCTCCAGAGAAAGGCAGCAACTAGACTAGCAACTAGAACATCTAAGATGCCTGGCAGCCACAACAGCATCTCAAAGGGTGTAAATAGCTCTGTCCCTGTACGTGACAGACATCAATTACCCGCTCTGATGATAGTATACTTGACATAAAACACCTCAAAGGCACACAGGACATACACTGAGATTTCAAACGCAGGCCTGATGCTGCAGGCTCTTTAAGAGGTTGAAGGTGAAACTCACATTGCAGGGTCAGGTAAGCTGAAGCAGAGGGGGAGATGCCCAGACTGTTACTTGGGCTGCAGGTGTATTTCCCAGCATCCTCTGGCTTCACTCTGTAGATAATGAGGGTTCCGTCAATAAAGATGCGAACACGGAGCTTCAGATCACTGCAGGGAAGAGAAGAGAGATGATCCGTTTGAAAAATATTATTAAACGTGTTTGTACACCGAGAAGAACTGAGGCTGTTACAATGACTCATTATTATGGCAGTCTGTTTCTGCCTCAGAGTGAATAATAAAAAAGGTCATTGTGAGAAAGTTTTAAATGAACGTTATACTTGTTGATGAAAAATAAACATCAAAACAGTCACAAGAATTAAAGCTACATTTCTGAGATATAGATGAGGAGTGCAATAAAGGGAAAGTCGCAAGTATGACATTTTGAAAAATCTGATATAAAGTCACAATTGTGATAAATAAAATTGCAGCTGTGATATATAAAGTCACAGTTACGAAAAAATCATGATTGTGATATAACTAAAAAGCAAGATTGAGAAAGTCACAAATATTATATAATGAAACATTCGGGAGAAAGTAGCAATTTCAACAAGTATGAGATTGAAATTTGGAGACAGACAAAACTCTGAGCGTAAAGTCACAATTATGAGAAATAAAATCGCGAGACAAAATTGTAAGACATTGTCAAAGTAATGAGAGTAATAATGTTGGATAAAAAACAATTATGAGATCAAATCTTAATTATGAGAAATGTATGAGACATTTGTAAGTTATAAAAAGTTGCAACTGCATAATGTAGTTGCAATTATGGGAACTAGATACATTTGAGAGGTATAAAACTGCAGTTATTGCAATTATATAGACATATTTAAAATAAAGACATATATTACATTTACATTTGGTCATTTAGCAGACACTTTTATCTATATATATATATAATTGATGGGAAATGGCATTCAGTTGAATTTTAGCTTCTTAACTTTGGCTTTGGTTGAAGTTAACTTTATATTTTTTTTCCATCAATAAACTTTGTTCTTTTCACAAAAATTTTTTAATAAATAAACAATAAAACAAATCAAATTAAATAAAATTTAATAATTTTAGATTAGATTAGATCATATTTGGCAAACCCCCTGCAGTACTGCTTTAGACTTCATAATCTACAACCCTGAGGATGTATGTATGTCTGCAGACAAAAAAATCACTTCGAAGCATAAAAAAAAAGTTAATTCTTATGGTTAATTTTACAAATATCGGTGTCTACTAAAATGTTTCTTACACAAAGTGGTAAATTGGCCAGCAGTATGAATATTCCCATGAGCATCCGTCCGCCCCTCACAGTTCAATAGTACCGGAAACCGTTATTTCGAAACACTATTCTGGCCTGTTTCCACAGAGAGGAACAGACTACAGCCCTGCATACAGAGGGTCAATACGGCCACGCTTGGGGGAGTCAGAACAGCTTTGGCTCGGCTTCAGTTGATCAGCATGTTTTTTAGGCATGTGATGACACAAGCACAGTGTCACAAGATGTTCCCATCCCGGCATAAAAACCTGCTGTGTGCGCCTCCGCGTCACTGCGCTAGCATTTGCCTTAATGCAGCTGTAGAGGGCTTGAGATTCAGGGATTCTGGGTCTAAAAATATATGTGACTCTAATCTAAAACCGACTGATGCACACACACACACACACACACACACACACACAGCAGCAGCTTCTGTGTTCAAGACTCTGAGACTTGGCACAGTAGTGAACTCGATCATAACTTTACTTCTTGAAGTAGACGTTGTCCTCCTCCCAGTACCAGGTATAGGTCAGGTTGCCAGGATACGCCTCTGCTTGGCACGTAAATTGGGCATTCTGGGATATGTTAACAGTGATGTTCTCAGGTGGTGACACGATGTATGGAGGACCTGGTGGAAGCAAACAGCGACAAGGGTTATAGACAGACAAATAAGCAAAAATCAAAACAGAAGAATTAGGGTTATTGTTTAGACTAATGTTGTATGTAAAGTTGCAATTGTGAGGGAAGCATTATGAGAATTTTTTGAGACAAAGTCACAGTTCTGAGATGTAAAGTGTAAATTATAAGAAATATAATCGTAACTGTGAGATATAAAGTCACAATTGAGAAAGTCGCAATTGTACAGTCAAATTTGTAATTACAAGGTGTTTCAATTATGCGAAGTAAATTTATATTTGCAAGAAATAAATTTGCATTTATGAGATATAAAATTACATGTACATTCTGAGAAAGACACCTGTAAGATAAATGGTTGATGTTTATGAGATAGACACATTTGTGAATTAAAGTTACAATTATGATATATACAGTAACAGTTATGCACTGTAAAAAAACTGTAGTTTTTACAAAATAATTTTGTCATTTGTGTTTGCCAGAATAATTTTGTAAAAAAAATACAGAAATATCAAAGTTCATCACAAGTAGCTTTTCCACAAGTTGAAGTATATACTAATATACAGAAGGTGCACAGAGTCATTCATGCAAACACAACACACCATCATGGTAACACACATGATGCATAAATAATGCAATAAATAATTATTAAACAACAGAAGATGTACCATAAAATCCTAAAGTACCTAACTGATAAAACCATTAAGTAACATGATTATTCAAACAAAACACTCTCAAATGTGAAGTGTCATGCAGGGAATTCTGGGAATATCACTTTACAGTTTTAGAAAATTATACATTGATTTTCTCTTTTTTACTTCTAAAAACTACAATTAACAGCATTTTACTGTAAAATTACATGAAATGTCTGGTTAGATCTTTTACAGTTTTTCCCTATATATAGTATGGGAACTTTCTGTTAACCTACTGTGAACGTTTTTTTCCCATAGCGTTTTTACAATATTTTACCGTTAAAATTACACAGTGTCAAAAATAAAGACACATCTGTGAGATGTAATTTTTATTTGAGCTGATGGCAAATAACTAGCATTCAGCTCAATTTTACCATCTTAAAGTCCGAATGAAATTTTACAATATTAATTTTGTTACCACACATTGCTAGTTTTAAGGTGAAAAATTAATCTGTGCAAGTTAATCCACTGAAGAAAATTATTTGTCTTCGTAATCTTTAATCAAAATCTAATCATTTGCTTCCGCTCTGGAATGGCATTTCTTCTCTGATGACGTCAGTTTGACGGCTTGGCCATGGCTTGGGCAGAATTCGCTTAACCATGCCCCTTCAACCATTCGTTTGCTGCGAGTGAAAGATGAGAAGAGGAGCGCAAAAATAAAACCCCGCCCTCTATTCTATAGTTCCTGCTTCCCCTTCCATTTGTTCTCTGGTTTTGTGCCAAACAAATAACAACTAATCAAGAACAACTAATTACAATATAAGACTAATTAAACAAAATTAGTTGTCTAAATGACAATCTGTAAACTCAATGTTAACAAGCTAGCATGCTAATGCTAACCTGTTAAAGTGGTTATACCTTCAAAACAGTGTGACAGTGTGCCAGCCGTTTGCCTGCTAACTTTCTGTTTCTTAGCGTATTTGCTGCAAGTGCAAACACATTTCATTTTTGTTTATATACACAAGGGAAAGGAATTATTGTCTGTGGTAATCAACAGCATGCCACAGATGTGGTAGGCCTATTCCTTGCAATTATCCTAATTCTCCTCCATGTTTATGTGTGTATATAAACCCGTCTAATAAAGACAGCAAGGATACTACTGCCAGACCTTCCCAAAGAGAATATTATCCTTCCCACAAGAGGCTGTCACTGAAATTGCCAATAGACTTTTAATTAGACGTGTGGGTAGGCAGGAATACTGTCGTGACACTCGGACCGCTGTGAGATTTGTGGGTGCTCTGCAGAAAGATCCAGCATGAGTGCTACTCTTTGCACAAACAAACCCATGACTAGCTGTGAAATATCTTCTAATCTTAATGTGTGGACTATGCTGAGAGCTTCCTGGATGTTTCCTTAATGTGCAGTAAATGACACTGCATCTAAGGGGATTATTGACAGTAGCGCAGCTTTGCTTATTAAAATGAAATCGCAAAAGGCATCACTTGAAAGCGTCTAAAAATATCCCTGGCTTTGCTCGCACTCGTGTTGTTGAAGCAGGTATTGAAGCAGGTTTTAACTAGAGTGCCTCTCCAGAGGCTTCATGAGAATATTGCTTTTTGTAAAAACAATATTGCTAGTTTACTAAACAAAACAGCCCATGGCCAAGGCAATTTTGGCTCGGCACAGTTCATATGTGTCTCCATCTGACTCTGCAGTACTCAGACAAGAGCAGACGATCCTCTTCTAAATCACTCCAACTAAAGCTCTAAATTCCAGGTAGGGCAGATGATATTGCTTATATATATGATCAGATATTCAGTTTCAATGTTTATGTACTCGGAGTGGCTTGAATCGGTAAGATTTAATCCATCAATTCAATTAAGCTGTCACACCCCTGTGGACTGTTGATTGTAGTTTCTCCCTCTGTGTCCTTATTTGGTTGTTCCTGTTCTCATTATTAGTTAATCACCTCATTGTGCTCACCTGTCTGCCCCTCGTTATCTGCCCTATATCAGTTCCTGTCTCTTGTATTCTAGTTTGTCAGTTATTGTGAATGTTGATGTCTACCCTGTCTGGATTTCCTGTTGTCAATTTATTAAATGTTATTGGTTTCGTCATCTTCGTCGTCCTGCCTGCTCTCTTGAACACCCTGCCCGTGACAGAATAACCGAACCTCAAGTAAAGTATAGCGGCGTCTTTCCCCTCGTTTTTTTCCCCGGTTTTTGTCAGTTTTTATTTTCGTGTTATGGATTACCCCGCCTTCCAAATCCTGCTGCTGGAGCAGGGGGAACGCTCTCTTGAGGACCACACGAACAACTTTCTGTCCCTGGCTCACCTCACGCACTACCCGGACAACTGCCTCTGCTCATTCTATCAAGTTGGACTTAACGCCACCACACGAGCGCAGTTGTCCGGGGATGGTCCTTTGGTCCTCCAAAACGAAGAGGAGAGACCTCGGAATCCACGGTTTAGCCCAGGAAGGGCTCCCGATCCCCTGTCGAGCCTAGCAAGGGCTCCCAATCCCCTGTCGAGCCTAGGAAGGGCTCCAGATCCCCAGTTCAGCCCAGGAAGGGCTCCTGATCCCCAGTTCAGCCCAGGAAGGGCTCCTGATTTCTTGTTAAACCCAGGAAGGGCTCCAGCCTAAGAGCTCGCTCCAGTGCCCGCTCCTCGAAAATGTCCGCCCTCCCACCCACTCCAGCCTCCTCCACCGCCGTCATCTGGCAGCCCCTCTGCTCGCCCTCAGCCCACCATCATTGTGGTGCGAGCCCCGCGGGACTGCCATCCCCCAGCGACACCGTGGTTGGAGTCTCCCTCACCTCCGCCTCCGAGGCCCGGACTCTGCCTCGGCCCGTAAACCCAGTGGCTCCACCTCGGCTCCTAGCTCCCTCGCCTCCACCGTCACCCATCGATCCATCAGCTCCACCGGCCTCCCTCGTCCCTCCGACTCCGCCTTGGTCGGGCGTCAACCCGCCATCGCCTCTGGACTCCTCTCCTCTGGCTGCGCCTCGTCGCTCTCTCCCACCAGCTCCGTTGGGCTCCTTCCCGCCAGCTCCACCTTGGTCCTCAGTCACTCCGGCTCCGCCGCGGATCTCTGGATCTCCGCCTCCGTCGCCAGAGCCCTCGGCTCCACCCTGGCCCCCCGGGATCCTCGCATCCCCCTGGCTCGTTGGCTCTCCGTCTCCGCCTCGGGCTCCTCCTCCACCTGCTCAGCCGCCGTTGATCGGCCCCCTGGAGTCAGCAGCTATCCCTCCTCCATGGCTCCTCCCACCATGGGCCGCTGTTATGGCTGTGGCCTGGGTCCTGCTGAGCTCCTCCTGCTCCGGGTCCCCCCTGTCTCCTCCCTCCTTCGTCGCCCCCCTGGTCTCTGTCTGCCGGCCTCCTCCCGAATATCCGTCCTCTGCCGGAGCCTCCACCTATCATGTCTGCCTGCCAGCCCTTTGCCTTCCCCTGTCACCATCCCACATCCACTCCTTTGTCCCTCTCCACGGCGCGAGAACGCACCTTCCGGGAGGGGGGCGATCTGTCACACCCCTGTGGACTGTTGATTGTAGTTTCTCCCTCTGTGTCCTTATTTGGTTTTTCCTGTTCTCATTATTAATCACCTCATTGTGCTCACCTGTCTGCCCCTCGTTATCCACCCTATATCAGTTCCTGTCTGTTGCATTCTAGTATGTTGGTTATTGTGAATGTTGATGTCTACCCTGTCTGGATTTCCTGTTGTCAATTTATTAAATGTTATTATCTTCGTCGTTCTGCCTGCTCTCTTGAACACTCTGCCCGTGACATAAGCAGACATTGTTGCCAAGTGAATTCAAAAAGTATAATGCAATTAAAATCTAATAAAAATAAATAATGTGTGTCTATAAAAAAATATATATATATTTACACACAAAACATAACATATACTAAAAGATTTTTTAATATAACTAATTTATTTGAAATGAACAATTACATCTGATTCAAAGAAATTAATTAAATTATTCTTATTCGGATTATCTTGTTACAAAATCTCACACCAAAATATCGCAAAATAAGTCTAATGTCTAGGTCTCTTAGAAATTGAATGTCCAAGTAAAAAGCAAAAGCAAAAAAAAATGCATTAAAACAGGGGTCAATGTGTTTTAAAAAAAAATTTTTAGGGTTATAAAAGCTACCAAGATATTTATCATATGAGATAAATCACGATTATTTAATTATATTGACAGTCTTGTTTTAAATATTATCACAATGATGTGAATGATCAGAAAAAAAGATGTCAACGTTATGCAAAGGATATTTTATCTAGATAATTTTAAATAATAATTTGCATTGTCTTTAATACTGTATCAGAATAAAAGCAGATTCTTTTGAAAACAACCATTTC